TTCATTTTCTGTAATTAACTCAGTTTCAACCTCAAATCATTGACACATAACAAGACCGATACATTCAGATACATTCATAACAATCACAAGTAAGGTTAGGCTTGTAAACATAAGTAATAGAGTGAGCGCGACTACCGACTTTCGGACTTTCTGCCGCCTCGTGTCTCGTTGTCAGTGCATGAATACATTTTTTCGGCTCCCCGTCGTAAAGCGCATGCGCGACTCGACCACGGCATAAATGTCAGGCTTTCTGCAGTGAAATCGCAACAGAAACCCCGTACTTTCGACCAGCGTAGTAAGAAAACGAATTTTCTTTCTTCAAAAAAATATTTATGAAGACAATAATTTTCTTTTTTAAAAATAAAATACTTATTTTGTTTGTCGAGCTAATTTTTTAGCTTCAAAAAAAAATTTTATTTGCACCAAAACTATTTTGATTTCTTAATTGCAAATTATCTATTATAAGAACGATAAATTTAAATATTAAGCTTTTATACCCTATAATGAAGTATAAATATTTAAATAGGATAAAAAATATAATGTTTTTCTTGAAAACCCGCTCTTTTGACCTCCGAAACGTCATTTTCATGTACAGTTTTATAATTTTATTATTGGCCTTTCAATTATTTTCAATGGTAACAGAATTTGTATATTTTTTATAGAACTTTTTGTAGTAATTACAAATGTTTTCCCGGAAAATTTTTTATCTGAATGTTAAAAAAATAGAAGTAAAAGATATTCAATAAAGTTTGTCAATTTAAAAGTCAAGTTGAATGCAAATTCAGTAAAAAATATCGATAAAAATATATAATCTTGGTTTACCGCAGAGCAGAACGAACGAGGTCATGTGCTTCTATTCTCTGGGTACTTTTGAGTGCACTCGACTTGAGTCTCAAAGTAAGGGTGTTGCCAGGACTCGCAGTCTGCACTGCCCTTTCATCTCGAGATACTTAAAGCCCCCTTTACTACCTACTAGTGACTATAAAGCTGTAGAGTTTTATAAAAGCTCAACCAACTACGGTTAACTGGGCCAACATCTGTTTGGATGTATGTGCAACCCGAGCTTAATCATTAGCATTAATTTATTAATTATAATCATGACTCAAATCCTTGATAACCATATCTTTGGATTAATTACATACATTTAGCATTTAAGCTCATTAGCATTTAATTTTAACAGTCCATATAATAATAAACTTAAATTTGACAGTAAAGCCAGACATAATATAATATTTTCGAGTTTTCAACATCTCTATTTATTTTTATACAAATGTTTGTGGTGATAAATTTTATTACGCTTTAAAAAATAAAACACCCCAGAATTTTCCGCGTTATTAAATTCTTTAAACATGTGTGCATAACTTATTAACTTTGTGAGGAATTAAATTATACGTTTTATCTTCTGTCCCCAGTACGAGTACTCGAGTGATAATTACAAAAATGTTTAGCAATAGCATTGAATAAAACCGAGAAAATTATATATTGAATAAAACCGAGAAAAAATACAATAATAGCTGAGTTTAGTGACGTCAAAGACAAATTACGGTTTTGTATTTGTGCAGCAGTTTAAACGCTAATAATTATAATATCACTCGGTGTGGCGACGTCAAAGCACTTGATAAACTGGAATTACATTGTATACAAATGAGCAACAAGCAATGAAGAATAAAGAATTAAAAATGAAATCTTAAGCCATCATCTCGAGAGACATAAAAGGCTATTTAACTTAAAAATAAGCGCGGCCTAAGAAAGGCATTAAATAAAAATATATTATTTTTATCACGTAAATTCAACTTTGCATTGCTAATAATTTAACCTTCACTGCATTTGCCATTACATCTAGCAAGTTGAGGCTCAAGTATCGCTTATGAATTTTTAATGCCCTACCGCATTAACTACGCCTAATATTTATTATATTTTACTTTTATTGCTACTTAAATTTCCATTATGGTTGTGGTAATAGTAATAAATAATACGATGTAAATTCATGTTTATATTTTTTTTTGTAGAGCAAACTGCCGATAAACAGAAATAAAAGGGAAACTTTGAACTCAGTGTAGCAAAGCCTCGATATTATGTAAATAAATCATAAAGCAACTCTGTACCTGAACTACTAGTACATATATTGTAAAATAGAGGTTAACTCGTTGCAAAACTCGCATCCTAAATTGTGGGAGAACGGAGATGATGTATGCACTCGTTTACTCGAGCAAGCACCGCGATAAATGCCCTTTCCCTTTATACTTGTACCCTGGAGTATAAAGTGATCGCAACATGGGCAATACAAGCATACTTGTTCGTGTACGGAGTGGATTGCCCAATAACTCGATGTTTTTCCACCATTTCAGCGTCTGGCTCGACAATTGCCATTTACTCTACTGTAAATTCAGTATCTAGTATTTGATATCTGTTTTTGCAGAGCCAGTGCTCTAGTGAAAAACCAGCAAAGGATTATTAGATCCGATCGTTCAACAATCGGGATAGTACGTGCTTCAATCGTATGATATTTGATAACGCGTCGCTAATTGAGAAGTCGGAAGTTCTAAAATTCTTCTTTATCGACACTCGAATTTTTGCTTTGGCTGTTTAAGTTTCAATTTTTTTTCTGTTAAAATATTAACAAGACCCGTCAGAATATTTTTTTTTAATTCCAACACTATCTGCAAGAAGCAACTTATATAAATAAAAGTTTTAATTTTATATTTTTGGTAATTTCGTTAAAATTATTTAAATGTCTAATTAAAATTGACAAATACTCCATTTTAAAAATCTGCTTTTTGATAATTAATCACACAAAAAGTCTCTTAATTTTTTTTCAAAAAAATATTTTATACGAATAGAAATTAAAAAAATTGTTTATCTTTACCCTGTCGTAATGCTCGACCAAACTTAAGCTGATGAAAAAAATCATAATATCGTGAGAAAAAATTTAATCTTAATGAGATGCCTAAAACAACATAAACATGTTTGTCTTCTAAAGAGCCCTCTTATTAGCAGATATTTTGTATTCTGACACCACAAAAACGAAAGGAAATCCTAGATTTAATGTTTTGATTCAGTGACATACCCCAAATGTATTACTCGTCCTCCAAACGAAGGTAAAGACGCATAACAACAAATTAATCGTATCCTATCGTGAAATAACAGTGTTACAAAAAACAGCATATATAATCAGATAACGCTAACAACAAAGCGACAGCTGAAAATAAATTAGCGAGTTGTTTTTGCCTCGTCTATTACGACAGAGGAGAGTATCCACAAACACCTGCTCTTCAATTAAGGATTCTACAGGCAATTAATTTTCCATGAAAGGGCCGGGCTTACCATACTCACTCCTCTCGCGTCATCCCGCCGCTCCTCTACACATACACATAACCATGCATACATATACATATACAATACATATTATAGAATACAGAAGCGATTCTCACGAGATCTAAGCCTTGAATATGGCACAGTACACACGCGATCGAATTATCTCGCCCATTAAATTGGTCCCCGGAGACTCAATACTCCACACTACTCTAATTTGAATATTGTGAAAAATATAAACAAAAACACTATATATTTCTAATTAATTTCCTGACCTTGCCCTCGGCCTTCTCCGATTTGCATCTTTATTACTCTCATCAGTATACACACACAACATCTCTGGTAATTAATAGGCTTATTTATTTTTTGACACCCTTCATTAATATTACCATCAGAATAATGTATGTTTTACAAACGTGATATGTTATGACATTTTTTTTTTTGATTGATGCCTTGTTTAATCTAAAAATATATACGACGAGCTGAGAAAATAAAACTCGCTTCTATATATCTAAAATATAATAGTATTAAAAGAAGGGAGTACATAAAAAAATATCAACAAGGCATAAGACGATTTCCATAAGTTTTCAATCGAATATTAAAGATCATAACTGCACAAGTAAAAATATAAAATACATTTGTTGATCCATCTGTCTCGGTATTACTTACAACAAACCTAAGATCTCAACCGAGTCAACTTCATACGGGTTTATTTAACGTTTCAATACAGAATAAGACCCATATATATAGATATATCATATATTTATTCCTCATTCTCGGGTTGTCTGTTTGTGTTCGGTTATTATTCTTTCTCGATGTTTTCGTACTTTATTTCTATAAATGTTTCCGAGTTGAGAAGACCAGAGAGCAGAGAGTAGAGTTGAGTTTAAATGTGCATACAACACAGTATCTTTCTATTCGCTTTGTTTTCGATTTGACTGAAAAAATTCAACATGGAACAATACAAAGGGGTGTAGGATTTCTGTTCGATGACGGACTGATTTAACCTGTACTGAGTTAATTCACGGAAGAATAAATACACAGTGGCGATTTGGTGCCGATGCGTTTTAGTTTTTATGTTGGATATATATGTTTCGGCGCCCACGTGCTCGCGTGGGTGATCAACAGGGCTTCATTCTTATTTCTTATGCTTCTGTTATATTACATTTCACGTTTAACATTTTACACTGCATTGTATTATATTATATTATGTTCTACTGTATTATTTATACATGGACAGTAACAGTAATATGATTCAAAATATTAATCTCGTGAGAAAATTTTTTTATATGGCCTGATATAAAAATTGGCCTTATTAGGACATATGTGGCTATTAAGATTATCTGATTTGGTCATATATATCCTGGTATTAAAATAATTTAGATAAAGACATATTAGGTCATATATGACCTTATCAGAAAATTTTTTTTCGGGATATTTGTACTGTTGTGGAAAGATTTTTTTTTGTTAAAATAAAATTTTGATGACGATATGAGTTTAATATTAATAAAAATAATAAAGACTAAAAATGCTGAGTAAAGGAGAGTAAAGTAAGCGATAAGTGAAAAAAGTAAGTCTGATATTGGAAAAAGCGACACATTCCTGGAATATTCGTACGAGAAGGCACAATGGAAGTACATTGAAGAGTAGAGTTAAGTTAAATTTGAATAAATTGACCTTATAGAGAGATGGACGACCATGAGATCCAGTCGACGGTGGAATCGATTCTCGGACCCGGGGTAAAGGTCGTCGACTGTGAGAAAAAGTCCACTGTGCAGGAAGAAGAAGTACTGCTGATAAACGGCGTACCAATAGCACTCGAGGGTCCCGATGGCATAGCAATACGCGAGGCGATGCTAACCGGTCAGATACCGCCTTGTGATCTGCTCAATCAGATCCTTGTTAGGGCTGGAATTTTGAGGTAGCAAAAATAATCTATTTGCTTTCAGCGGTTCGCGTTTATTTATTCATTTTTTTTAATGGGTCTTGGGTAATTTTTATTAAAATAAATTGTTGATATTGCATTACTTATTTTGCATCAGGAATTTATTAAATTATATTTAGATAAATTCTTTATCAGCAAAAAATTTGTTTAATCGAAATGTTCAAGTTATTAGATTCTTCAATTTTTGTTTTAGTGAATTAAATATTGTAAAACATATTTTTAGAGAATATTGAAAATATGTTAATAATATTTTTTCATGATAAAAAATTTTCAAATGTAAAAAATTGATTTAAAATTCCATTAAAATAAGTAATACAACAACAAAAAATATTTTCACAATTTAAACTTTTATTTTACGGGTAAACAATAATTATTCACAAATAAATTTAGCATATCCGATAAATATGTATAAAAAATTAGCATAAAAAATACAAAAATTATCTTCTATTCCGTTATTTATTACATTAAACAGTTTATTTTTCGGGTAGTACAAATATTTTTCCAAACAAAAAATGAAAACCTAATAAAACTAAAGCTTAAAAAAATTTATGTGTGAATTGGGATTATATTTCCTACCTCATGAATGATAAAAGGTAAAAGGTATAAATAATTTACAAGGGCTCCGGTAAGATTGGAGACGTCGTTGAGTGTAAAGTCAAGCGTGGTGACAAAGGAGGAGGTGACAGTAGCACGAGCGGGCAAGGTTGTGGACGAGCGGAGTCGTGAGACCAAGGATAACAACTACTACACATCCTCGACAAGTGAAATCTGGGAGCCAGTCGGAATAATTCACCGCCCGAGCAAGAATATTAAGCCATTCGACAGCTCCGATGATTCCAGACCAAACTCCAACGCGAGCTCAGACCAGGGCTACACCACCAACAACAGCAGCACCAACGTCCTCAGAGAGCGCGGAGGTGCTGCCGTCGGGTGTCCGATCTGCGAGGACAATGATCCTGATTGTGCGCGCCGCTGCCTCGGCGGACTCGCTGGACTCGGATCCAAGGTACCTGGAGTGCAAACTACCACTTCTGCGGTAAGACAAACTTCAACACTATCACCCACTTTAATATTTTATCCATATTCCATTTTTTATCCGACAATTTCCTTCAGCTACTCCCGTGTCTTATAATCTAATTGCCGGTAATTAGGGCACGGTTAAAGCCCTTCTGTACGTCACTGTGTTCCACACGCTCACCAGAGCGCGAACTTTAGCTCATTCGCTATTTATACACGCATAAATGTACCTACATATGTATAAGAATATAAGTAAGAGGGACTTAGCTATGTATTTATGTTTATGTTTTATATTTAATTTTATTACTGCATTTTACAGCTTCGAATTTACATTTCTCGCTATTTTTAGCCTGTAATTATACCATTTATTTTTTTAGATTTTGCACTTTTTCACTCTATTAATTCATTTGAATTTATAATTGAAGGGAAATTACGGAAACTTATTACGGCTAACCGGTAAAAAAATTCATCCTTAAATGACTTAATTTAATGCCGATCAAAACAAAAAATTTCATAAAGAATTCAAATTTCGTTTGTTTACATTAGAACCACATGCTTATATTTATACGGGTGCCTGTTTTACTACCTACAATTCCTGTCGATAGTTGGCGTACTCTCATTGTGAGGACACAATTTCGTTTTATTGATTTTTCTCACCTGTTCCATTTTTTTTCCTTTTTTTATGAAATTTATCGACTGTACAATTAGTTTAGTGCCTATATTATCGACAATTTACTGAGTGTGGCCTCTGATAAGCCAACATTCTACTGTACCAACTGATAATATTGTATGTAATTGGTAATTTCCTGGTGTTGGTACAGTAGAACACTGAATTTGTGAACGTGAGCACATTTTTGGTCGATAAAAAAGATGATTTAGGATATTGCAGATTTTCAGAATACTCTAAGGGTAAATTTTCTGATTCGTAGGTAAAAAAAAATAATTAAAAATTTTTTGAGATAGAGAGCTTGATACTTAAATAAAAAATCAATTATTAAGAAGTGAAGAAGCTTGAGGAAAAATTTATGTAGACAAAAAAAAAGTTATCTATGCATAGCACTCTCAGACAGATATCTAGGTGACACATAGAGCAATATGTGGAGTCATCTTTCGGAAAGACGTGTGAAGACATACTGGCAGATCGAGAATTTCAAAGTGCCAGGAACGCGACAGCAAGCGACGTGATCGGACCGGGACGTGCTTCGTCATTCTGAAATTCGAAATTCAAGCCTCACATAAACCGGGAAGTCCGTATGTTACAACCTACCAGACACCGACGTGTCCCTACACCTTATCCGCTTCCCAGACTCCGCGAGCTTCTCCATAAAATTTATCGCTCGGCAACACATCTTTCACTGGCAGCCTTCAACACCGTCGTCATCCCTTTTCTATTTCCCGGATCTAAGCTAGAGTGAACCGCAATTTTTCTCCCATGAATTTTAAAAATCCGAGTTTGCCTTCAATTCGTTATCGCCATAAATATTTAATTTTATTCTCGATAGAAACTCAATATTTGATTCATTTCGCAAATAATTAAAAGCAAACAAATAACAGATTCGTGCAAACATTCCCTGGCATACTCAAATCAATAAGATAAACACAAACAAACATTATAAAATAAATTACTTCGTCGCTTGACTATGTTCAGATGACAGTTAGTTTTAATTTCTGCTAACGAGGGTTTATCTTTACTTTTCGGTTTTAAGAAGTGAGAAGAAGAAACGGTCGATAAATTTAATTAAATTTGGCTATTATGAACAACTGATTTAATCAAATAAGTTGAAATTAAGAAAAATCGTGTCAGACTGATACCGCTAAACTTCATTTCATGCTCTTCATCTTCATCTTTATCTTTATTTTTACTTTACTTTTTCCGTCACTTTTTCTTTTTTCTTAAACCAACTGCAACCATATATCCACGAATTTTTCTCCGCTTTTTTCGTTTCCGTCTCTTATTTTAGAATGAGGTGATAAAAACTGTTTACTGCTTACAGTTATTAAACTTTTTAACCTTCTCCGTATGCGGTTTAACGAAACATAAATTTACAAAAATGATATCTGAGAAACACCCGTAAAATTCACACCTTAAAACTGAAAATAATTGACAAATTATTTGCAAAAAATAATGAAATTTTATACGTATTTTACCCTCATTTTTCGATAAATTGTTAACTCAATATATTGTTTCAATTTAATACAGCTTACCTAATTTCCACAACCCCAAACAAAAAAAACCAAAAATTCATTAAAATAATGTTTATTACCATACACCCGAACAGAATATCACGGCGTCTAGTTTATGAATCTATTTATAAAATCAATTGCGCATTGGAGGGCAAGAGCTCAAGAGCCTCAACTCGAGTAGACTAGTAACATTCTCCGTTATTCCATTGCATTGATTACGCGAGTATTGCGTTGTTAATTAACAGGATTTTAAAAGCTGATTAGTTGATAAAAACAGTGGCCGTTTTGATAAAGAATTCTGATCGATTGTTTGGGTGACATAGTTATAGTTACAGTTACAATATCGAGTATTGGTTAGTCACATATGTATATGAATAGAAGCCATTGTCCAATCATCCGTCTGTGGTATTGCCAGAGCATCCTACTGCGTTATATATTGGCATTGCAAATTTTCGTTAAAATCCGCACGCATATCGACGAGCTCTCAATTGACAGACAGCCCAGCGACGATCATCCAGGATTGCCGTGTCCTCGACAAATCGTCATCCAGTAACATTTCACGGTGGGTCTACTGCTCTGTTGTCGTTACATTTCCAAGCTATAATCGAAATTGCACCCTACTGAGAGGAAGAGAGATAAAGACTGAGAGAGGGTTAGAGAATCCCTGATATAGTTAGTCCTCAACTCATACTCGGGGTTGATTGTCCGTGATATTTATATACACAGATATTACTATATGTTATATATGCTTGTAGAGGCTTCATTTCCATCAGTAGACTCGGACAATCAAATTTCATCGGTTCACATATAATACCAGTACATTTGATTAAACTAATAGGCGAAACAAGTGTTGTGGCACGTGTTGTATTTGTTTGGATGATATTAACGATACTGTCTTGTGGTTTTATTGACAGTTGTGTAATATAGATATTTATAGAACCGGGGGAAAATATTAGGCTATTTTTAAACTTTACAACCGTAACATACGAAATGGCACAAGAAGATGAAACAGAGGAATTACCTACAGCTTATGGTGTTATGATTGCTGTCATCACCGGGTTGCTTGGTTACGTTTTGTGGGTGAGTTTTTTAGTGCTTTTTTATACGCGAAAAAAAGTTAAATTTTTACAGTTTATGCAACTAAAATTTTAACAATAAATTAAAAATTCAATTGTTCTTTTTTCAATTATAACAATTTTATGAAAATATTTTTGTTTCAAATTGATTCAACATCATCAGTAATTTTTTTATATTTTTCAACTCAACTATTATAAAAGTAAAATGTTAAATGTAAACTTTCCTTTTTTTGACCTCGGCTCGAGAGCATAAACTACTTGAGGTACACATAAGCAAGACACATTTACGATTACATACCCATGTGCTTTGGTTGGTTCTATTTTTGCCAGGCATTTTAAAGTTGAGACTTGAGACACTGAATAACTAACCAAACTAAACTGAGACGTCTGGCATTTTAGCCGGCGCAATGTTTTAAAAAATTGAAAGCTTTTTTACTGCCGATTGAAAACCGAGGCGATTAGCATTAATGACTGCGCGCTACGCTTTTTCGAAACCGTTAAATGGTTTGAGTGCTCATTAGCTTTTACTGCGGAAACTATAGTAGTATGGTATATCGGCGGGCGTGGTATTCCTATAGGAAGCACCTTCAATGAGTAATATTCAAATTTAGTTACAGCAAATTGCGAGGGAATCCAATTGAGAGATTATACACTTAAAGTTGATAGGCTACGATGGATGGAATAGGAATAGAAGCATAGGATACGAGCAGATTGAATTAATTTCGAGATTGAGATAAGATATGATGAAACTGGAGACAGGACTTCTACGGTGAATTTGGATTTCAGGGTAGAGATGATTTTGAATTAGTAAACTCTGTACTCTATGTTATAGAGCTTTACTCAAATTTCATTTGTGTACCAATAACAATTATACAATAACTTTAAATTAAAAAGAAAATATGTTTAAAATAATTGTTTTTTAAAAAAAAGTGATCAGAAAACCTTACAATTGGTTTATTGTAAAAATTACCATCATATGAATTGTAAAAACTACAATACTGATCATTGACGCTACCAATAAACTCTCTCCGAGCAGATGTTAAAATTGTTAGCAACCAATCCAGTATTTTTGAACTAATATTTTCCGTAACACGTAGAGTAATGTAATGATTTGGTCGGATGTTGGAGCCTTCCTCTGTATCTGGGTTTAATTGGTGTGTGAAGGATGCCGTGGTCGGTGCTCATCACGCCGCCATCACGAAACTTGTATACCTCCAATTAAATTCTCCAATCAGCAGAGAAACGTGGGATTTAAATCTCGTTTTAACGCTCAAATATCATCGTTATTTATTTATTTTTTCCCTCGTTTAACCGGGAATCCATTTCGATCAATAATTTCGTGCATAAACCAATTAATTCCCGTCATGAATCAACACTATACAATCAGTATATACGTATATCCCAAGTGATTGGATTGGGTTTGCTATAAAATTATTAGATTGAATGTGCGAACGCAGTATGAATGTTTACTTACTGATATGATGAGTGTTCAACATGAGCCGAGAACTAGCGTCGAACCTATTACGATAGAATTATTTATTTCATTCTAATAAACTGAATTCGTTGAATATTAACCAGATTTTATTAGTAAATGATTAATTTTTTTTAAACTAGAATTTCTGATTTTTTTTATCACTAATAAATTACTACAAAAAATGTAGGAAAAAAAATTTACATGTAGAAATTTGAACAAACTAAAAATATAGATTGAAGAAAAAAATTTTTTTCTGCAGTTAAACATATTTTTTAAGAAATCATGTCTCAAATATTGAAAATCCTTATAAAAATACACTGTGAGAAGATTTCGCAGTAGAAATATTTAAAGTTGGTGCAGAAATTTTTATACAATTTGTCAACAACCCCTATAAATCATGATCCAGGAGTAGTTTTTCTGATTTGTCAATAGGGAGATAAATTTGGAATCTTAAAATTTTGTTCGTTGGAATAGTGAAAGGAAGCTAAGGTATCTCGAAAAAAAGAGAGCGTGCTCTGAAGCTCTGGATACGGAATAGGTTGGAGTAATATCAAGAGGAATGTCACGACGGGGTAGAGGTTCCAACCAGGCGTCCTAGATCTTAAGTTTACGAGCGAGTGGCGCGAGATCCAATAGATGAGATTACGGTTTTGCGCTTGAGCTCCAACACCACCCGGCACTTATTCTCTTATTTTTCTACCTCTTCTTCTCGCTGCACAATTCACGGCTCTAGTTTACGAGCCAACTTGGCTTCTGAGGAGAACAAAAGAACCTAAATAAAGCCAGCAAGATGAATAAAAATCTGTAGAACATGGAACAAGATATTCCTGGTCTATTACGCTCGATTTTTGATCTTCCATGAGTTATTTTGGGGAATGTAAACAAGAAAAATCAACTAAGAATGTTATTATTATTATTATTCATAGCAATGATTGTTTATTTATTTAAGATTGATTGATGATCTAACATCAAGACTCGTCGTCAAAACTCAAATTATCGTAGACGAGATTCTCCATGACGTCTAACTGGTACCTTAGCTGTCTTATCTGTCGTAAAATTTTACTGCCAATGTTACAGTTACACTCGTTCGGTGAATCCTTGTCTAGATCTTCTTCTTCGCTGCTGTCAGAGCATTTCGTTTTGGTCCGTCTTCCGTTCTGGATTTAATTCAATTATTTTATTCAATTAGCAAAGTTATTACTTAAATCAATTTAATAATGGGGTTGAAGGAATACTGATGGAAAATTTTGAGTGCTTATCATTTATGTCAGAAGGAAAATGGCCATCAAAGTTATTATTACTAATATGGATTTAATAAAAAGTTTTGTAATGAATTTTGAAAGCTTTGGGAAAATATAAACTTCTGAGATTGGAATTATTGGAATTAAGACATTAATATTTAATTTAAAAGTTACAACTTTTGAATTTAATAACTTCGTTCCATTAACTTCAATAATTAATTTTATCCTTAAAAAATAGAATCCAACTTCTCGAACTTTAATATATATTTACAAAGTTTAAATACAGTAAAACTTTATTGCTTTGAAAACCTCTATAACGTAATAAATTTTTCTGTTTTCCTTTCAAAGTTTAAATTCTCCATTACTTAAACAAAGAATTTGAGAATTGACCTCTAATAATAATCAAAAAAATTTTTGAACTAGAATTTCCAAGACAAAAACTCAACAAAAGTAGAGTTAAAATTCTCTTCAATAAAATAACCAAAAAACACTTACGTCTTTGACTGCATTGGTATCAAAAGTAACAGAAGACTGGGACAATGCACTCCTTGGTACAACCACCTGAACCATTTGCTTCAAGCCTTGTTTCTTCTTTGCATCGTTCATGAGTCGCCTTTTTCTGAACCCTCGCCTTCTTCCCAGCTTGTTTCTCCCCTTTTGCTACAGATTAACATGAAACTCAAGTTCCTTATCAATCATAATGATAATTATCAAACTAAGACCTACTTTAATCCACGGGACCCTGGCGTTAGAATTCATGTTGACATTAGTATTGAGCTGTCCATTGAAGATATCAGTTTCTTCAGTAATAGCCTGAGCTGCAAACCCCGGAAAATCATTTCTGTTTTCAAAATAACGTCTCCCATCGCTGTCAAGACTCTTTTCGCTTTGGGCGGAATTTAATAACGAAGACGGCATTGGCTGGACATCCACCGCCTCTTCCAGGCAATAAACTGAAAAATAAAAAACATAAAATATGAACAATATCCTCGTTATCGTAAAACGAATTTATTTAATCATCAATGATAAATCATCACTCACCATCTATTTGGGAAATAGATAGGAGTTCACTGAACAATAACAATTGCAGAATCGAAATCATTCGGATCTGTATTTGCAAACAATAGTTGAGTGAAATTCAAAACCGCATTCAATACTAATTAAAATGGTTACTTTTGTTCATATATCCAGAATCCAGAGATCCTAACAGCGTTCGGCGTTCAGAGTCATAAATGAATTTTATCTTTCACTATCAACCATTACCATCAACCATCAACTGTCGAACACCAACTGCCGACTCAATCAATATTTTATGCCCATATTTATAAAATAACACAACTGAGTTGTGATTTCCATATGAAACTTTAAATTACAAACAGTAACCACAATCACATGTAGGTGTAAATTTGTGAAAACATTTTCGAGCATGTTGTTATTGAATTTTTTAACGCTCCAAGTTTAGCTTCAAACACTATTATCACAATCTGCTGCACGCTAGCCATGAAAGCCGTGGATAAATACATTTGTACGGTTGTTTTATTTAAACAAGGGGACTATTTAATTGCAAGATATATCCGATGATAGCCGGGCTGCATTCAGATCGGACAAATCTTTTTCCGCTCCTCCTTCCCCGCCTCTTACTCCTCATTTTTTGTTATTAAAACACTATTCGCCCATTATTTCTTTCATTATTTTTGAGTTTGTTTTTTATTAATAATTGGATCGAGTAACTGGATATCCCGGTGATCAAATTGATATTATGCGTGGCTGTTACAAAAGCATTGTGTATTAAATAGAATTGATGGAGAAGGTTTCAGTCGATAGAAAAATCGAGATGAGTGAAGGGTAAATATAAATATAAATATATTAATTAAATAACATTAATTAATTTATAATATAATGTAATTATTGGCAGATAAATAAATATAGAGCGTAGAAGTAAATAATTAGTAGTCGATATGTCGGTATAAAATAATTTATTGAACGGTGAATTGAAAATGTGTAATGTAGTTAATTTAATTAACATTAATGAGATGCCGGAATAGCCTGGATTTTAATTATCGTGGTGAAGTTATTTTTAATTAGTTTATTATTAATATGTTAGTTGACTCAGTGGGATTGCTGATCTCGTTGTCATTTTTACATAGTTAAATTTAAATTATTGTAATTAGTACATTCGAGTGCCCGTAAAATCGTTTGAAAACTGACGATAGGTGCTATACGGGTGACGGAAATGGGAAAGAGAGGTATGTCCCCTTTCACAGAGAACTCCAGTTCAATTGGGTACCCACATTTACACCTACTGGAGCTTTCCAAACTCAAACTTTTGTTGGTATTCCCATTAAAAGTTTCATTGAACAGACTGGAACCTTCATGGTATGGCCTTACGCCATTCTACTCACCAAATTGCAAATTTACTGGCAGTTTTATCGTCGAACAACGGTTCTCTTTCCAGGATTTCACTTGTTTAGTTGATACTTTTTTAAAAAAAGGAACAAAGAAGTTAACAGACTTTACGGCTGGCAATTATGGTAGATTTTGAACTTAATTATTACTAATTTGATTGGACGATAAAATATTAGTTGTATAATTACTTTTTTAAATTAATTACAGTATAACAAATTCAATAAATTATACAAAAGTCAATCAACAATAGTGTGGGTGTAAATTTTTGACACAAGTCTATAATTTTTGTTGCGAAGTGATGCTACTGTTCCTTTGTAATTTCACCATTCAATTGTTTTTTACTGGTGTAAAACGACGCGATAAAGTTCCACGCGCTAACGAGTCCCACTGTCACTTAACCAATTTCATTTAAACTCTATAAAAAATTTTATTTTCTGCCTCAATAATTTAAATAGAAAAAATAATAAAAGAAAAAAATAAATTAAATTAAAATGCTCTACCAGGAATAATGTAAATCCGTAATTTCAATTAAAATTCTTCATTAATTCTCCACATAATCCGTTGTCACTTTGTAAAACTGTTTCAAAAATTAATTTTCCATTTATTTGAATGTCAAAGTGAGCGATAACAATAATAATATGTTACGTCCCAAACTCAGAACGTAAATTATTAATTTATTTAATTTTGGTCCAAGCCGAAGCCTCTAGACCGGGACTCAGAAGGGATGTAAAGATAATATTATTGAAATGATTTTAATAAAATTTTAAATTTAAACTATTTATTTAGACATAAAAAGAACAAAATTTGATGATACAAAATTTATCTAATTTTTAACTTAAATACAATCAATTCAACTAAATTAATTGGCTCTACGTTATTTAAATTTTTACTCGTCGTATTACAGAATTTTACCGGTAATTTAAGTAAATAAATTTTCCCAAACCTTAATTTCCGCCTAATTGCGACCGCAGAATTGACCTGTTGGTTTTATTTACTTCGACACTATTTCAATTACACTTAAATTCTTTCACACTGATTCTATTTTAAGTTATACTTTAAATTCAAGTGAACAAACCACTGAATTTTACAAGTTTTATTGGCGATCCGCACTGGACGAGTTCTGGAGGACGAAGAGACTGAGTTCATGCGAGGATCACTGGGCCTCGAAGTTTGGGCGTTTTAAAAATTATGATTTGGGGGAAAACAGTAACCAATTAGTGGCCTATTTTCCTCGGCTTCTACCCTCTCTTTCGAGTTTCCCCAAGATGTTCGTTTGAACTCTCCTCTATTGGGCCCGGAGGGTACGCTATCCCTCTTTCTCTAACTTATAGACTATATGAGTAACCATGTATCGGTGTAGGTGTAAGCACATTTACATGCACACAAATACATAGTTCCTTATTTAACTAAATCTTTTATTTTATTTATAATGATTACTAAATTATTTCTTAATTAATTAATTTATTTAATTATTTATTGATAATAAATTCATCACCAATAATTAATTATTAATCTTCTATATTTATCTAAAAAATTTTATATTGTTTTAATTATTAAATTTTTTTTTAAAGAGTTATTTAAATTGTTTCTAACTTTATTATTTTAATTATTATTTCTTTAACATTTTTTTATTATTAATTTTTCTTTAAAGAATTATTTAAATTGTTTCTAACTTTTATTATTTTAATTATTATTTCTTTAAGGAATCATTTAAAATGTTTTTAAAAGAAAATATTTATTCTTTAATTATTATTTCTTTAAAGAATTACGTAAATTATTTCTAATTTACGTTACATTATATTATTTACTATTATTCGTTATATTGTTATTTATTATTTAACTATTTTTATTTCTAAAATTATTTATTATCTAATCTTTTTTTTTATTTTTTTGATCTTTATATTTTACTTAGGTTTTTTTTGTTTTATCTAAGTTTATCTTATTTAAAACAAACTAGAAACTTCCCAGACTTTGTCAGTGATGCCATTGAAGCTAGGGGCAATAAAACTCCCATTTATTTGTGTACTTAGGATTTTAATCTTTTAAAGCATTCATTTTTCTAACGTCGGAAAAATTTCTAGAGAGACCGGACGAGACACTTAATGTTTTTCTCGTTAAATGTTTCTCGAATTTTTATGCCTTGAAATAAAATTCCAAGAAACCATAAAAAATAAAAATATGTATTTAAAAAAAAGAAGACATTAAAAAAAAGAAACTGTCGTTGTAAGCCACGACATAACAAATAATATTAAAAAAGGGTGTTAATTCATCAGCGACAACAATAACACTGGATCAAACATTTCTTTGTCTTTGTGAATTTATTACAGCAATTAAAAAGCAAAAACGAGAATCAATCTCGTATCATATCATTCCGATGCAAATTTCAACATTTCAAAGTACTTGCTATGAATTCTCATTGTTCTGAATGAGAAGAACATTACTTTGATCTTTTATATGTCCTCGTTTTTTAAGCAATAATTCACTCGTATCTTTTTGGACGTGAATATTATACCGTAGCTGCCTGAAATTTTTTTTTATTGCTTCATAAGTAAAAATCGATCGAGTAATTCGTGCTGAAATAAAATGCCCTACTTAACAAGAAACAATTATTATGATTATCATAAGTTTTTATAATTTACCTCAGTTTTTTAATGGCTCGTGAAAAGTAAGAGCAATAAACACTTGATTAATCTCCGTCACAATTGCAAGTGTTGATAACAGTCGAATGGAAGTTTTTAATGGCGCGATAGGCATGTTACTTTAAAAAGACAGTAATTACTCGATAAATAATTGACTGTTAAATACCAGCTCATTGATTCTAAGGCTATTTAATAATAAATTGTTATTTATTGTTCGATTAAAAGTTTTTGTATTACAAGAACTAATCGAGGTGAGATTAGGCTTAGAAGCATTTACGCTCATTGATCAGAATAATTTGGTTTAATTGGATGATAGAAATCGAACGATAAATTTAATTTATACCAATCCGGCTCAACGAGTAGCTATCAGATTTAATACTGTTTGTATTTTGGATTATGATTCTTTGCAAATCAATTTTTAGTTAGTGAAAAATTTTATTTAATAACGAGAGATAATAAATATTAATTGACTCTGTTGAAATTTCATTTAAACGCTAGGCAGATTTTTATTTTTCATAAACAACCCAATTTTATATTTTATTTATTTATTTTTGTGATAGACACAGATGAATAAATAAATTAAACATAAAAATGTATTCTGTTATTTTATTTAAATGAATATTTTTTTTTAAGTTTATATTTTTATTTTTGAATAAATAAAAATTAAAAATTAGTTTTTTTTTAATAAATATGAAGCTTAATATTTTTGATTTTTTAGATTAAAAAATTATTTTAATTAAATTTGTAAGTAAATATTAAATTTAATTTATCACAAAGACAAATTCGGAAAATATTCATACATTTTAAATTAAAATATAGAATCAATTAAATAAAGTAAAATATTTAACTTCATATTTTATCTTCAATGTCGAAATAATTACTAAAATACGAACAGAAATTAATTTTCTATTTTTGAGCAAAAACTTCACTTGACCCGTAAAATTAAACCGACATATTAATCTTTTGAAGCTACGCTTGCTTTATGAATATAATAATTATTTAAAGGCGAGGAAATAAATAAATAAAATAGAGTTAAATTCCAAGTTTTATCGGCAATCGTTTTATCGTCTAAAGTAAACAAAAAGTTTAACATTTTCCTCATTTCTTTGATAGGCAATCTTATTTTATGTGCAATCTGTTCTGTTTGAAGTTGTTTTTTATGATATTTGATTTACGGAACTTAAAAAAAGCAATTTCTCCATGCGATAGAAAAAAACACGTTATGCTTAATTTACTTTTTTGTAATCACTAAAAAAAAACGTAAATGCACTTAAAGTATATTTACTTATAGTCGAAAGTCTGGGTTTTATAGAGCTTACCGACTGACGTAATTATGCGGCCAGTCGGAAACTATTTAAATGTTTAAATTCCGATTCTGATAAGAGTTTAAGTAATAATACTAACAGTTATTGCAATGCTTCGACTTATAAAATACGCTGATAAAACGTGACCGGGTCGTATGGATTATTGGTGAAATCAAAACACTTTTATTTTTTTTCCATGCTTACTAAATAAATCATTTATTTTTACTGATAAAAAATATTTTCAATTTCAATTTTTGAGGCTAATTACAAACTTTAAAAAATTAAAAAAAAATAAAAGCTGGCAAATGAAAAACGAATTTTGAAGTGCTATAAATCCGTAAGACGAAATAAAAAAATTTTCATTAACAATTTTGGGTATGACATTCAAAAAAAAAAAAAGATTTTTTATTGTGTGCTTATCACAAGCCTTTCCCAACTGCTTTAATATCCTATTTGAGCTTTTCCACGTACGTCGAAAAAAAGCAAGATAGTAGAAAAAAAGCTGAGTACAGTAGAGTATATATGTGAGTCAAAAAATACGAGCGATATTGCGATGCTCAAAGAAAATAGAAAATGTAGCAGTGGTACTTGCAGTAGTAGTAGATCTGCTGGATACCAGATAGAAAGAGTCATACGCTTCAGCTCTACGCTCTATATACTATATACTATGCGCTATATAGCGCAGCTCTATATACCGTCAGCGGTCACAGTTAGAGGCTAAGACCTGGATTACGCCTGCTCTGAATAGGAAATTAAGTATTTGCTCTCTGTAACATCAAAATGTCTGGGGATTAACGAACCGCATTAGCGTGAATCTTTTAAGTTAAGCTTTCTTCATATCCTTTATGAACAAATATTTTCTGTTCATAAAAACTTATATTTTTATTATTATTATTATTATTATTATAACTATTTTTCACCTTTGATTCATAAATAACCAAAGACATGTTTATTCAACCTGGCATTACGGAGCTCTAGTCTGATTACTTTATTAAAACGCTTTTTTAATTTATTAACCCTACTTATTATTCAACAGCTTTTTTCATTCACACTTTTTAGTAAATGGCAACACTTTTTATTTTATATTATTTGTAAAACTTCTGGCATTAAAAAACGATGATGACTATTCCAAGTGGGGAGGTGTGACAAAATTTTGCATTACAAATTTTTGCTTTTTTCTAGCATGTTTTTTTTTTTTAAATATCAATCCAAAACTTGTTATTTATTAAATTTTACGAGTTAAATCATCAATTTATTATTATTATTATTATTTATAAAAATTTTTAATCAGTTAGTCAAACATTTTATTTATTACACTCAAATATTTAAATATCTAACCACTATTTAATTAATTATCATTATCACCCTCATTATTATCTCGATTCTCGTTTTCGTAATTTTCCAGCTTGCTGACTTCCGCGTTGCCCATTTCCCCGATAATTATTTTGGTATTCATTAAATGAATATTTTCCAATGAACTTGTCAGAGTCTCCTTTTCCTTCTCTCTATCTCTATTCTCTTCATCACCAAGTTTATTTTTTCCCCAGGGTGTTAACTCGTTTGGAATAATTCCAAGTGGTTGCTTTAAATCACCAGGCAATTTCAGAGACCAAAAACTCGGGCCGATAAAAAATATCGGCATTAGTGGCCTTGTTTTCTTTAATTTACTGTCGGTAATTGCTCGATTAGCATTTCCTGTCTTCACGTCTTTCTTAAAGTTATCAAAATCAAAATCGAGTGTTTTGTGCGTCAGCACTTTACCGACTGCAGAGTCAGTAAACTCGGAAGAAGATAATCCAGATCCAGAATCAGAATTATTAGCAGAAATCGGTCGAATGTGATTGGATAATATTTCCCGGAGGAATGTTGACGGCGGGGAGGTTACGCTCATGCCCCACCGATCGCTTGAAAAATTATTCTTCGGCTCCGATAACTTGTTATCCTCGACCTCGGCTTCCACCTCCACCTCCATTGCCTCATTCCCGGGCTCCTGTAGGTCCCCTTCATCCCACCGATTTATTTTTGGGATTTTATTTTTTTTTACTCCTATCGTTCCTGAGCCGGGACGGGCTTGGGTTTCTTTGAATTTATTCTCGTCTCTATCATCGGTCCTCGATACCGCGGCTAAAAAACCCGCCGGGGGATTTTTCATACTCATGCCCCACCGACCACTTTGCTCCTTCAACTCAATTCTTTCATCTCGGGTTAACCCGGTGGCTTGAGGAGCTCCTGACTCGGAAGAAGAATTATAGAATTTTTCAAAGTCAAATTTCGTGCCGAAAGTTCGTCGGCTTTCTTCACCCTCTGTCGGTTTATAGCGAGAAGAAAAATCTATTTCCGATAAATTCACCTCTGATTTTACACCTAATTCGTCTTTGAATTCAGCAGTGGTGTCTTCGATACTTTTTTTATCAGTTCTTTGCCATTTTTTTAATTGTTTCTGCGTTAATTCTTTCATTTCTTTTTCCCATGCTTCGTGTTCTTTGTCCGGTTCGTTAATTTGGATTTTTATTTCTTTTTCCCATACTGGTGGAGGCCTAAAAGATCAAAAATATAAAATTTATTTAGTCTGTTTTTTTTTATAATTTTATTTATTAAAAAAAAACGAAAAATCTTACTTAGTACCCTCACTCTCCTCCAAGGGCTTCAAAGTGTGATCCTTCAGCCAATCTAAGTGATTTTTGAATTTTGAGTTTGCTAAATTTCTCCTCAACTGTCTCGACTCGACAAATTCTGAAACAGAATAATTAATTAAACTAAACTAAAGATGAAAATTATCTGGACCGTGAATAATTCTTTGCCGTCTAATTGAATAAATATTTGAGAGAGTTTAATTGTTAAGAAGGTTCTTCCCAGTAGAGTCTTTTACAGCTGTGCAAACGAGTTTTTATTGAGCGAATCGTGATCTCTCGAAAGAGCGGTACGTGAGGACACGACTCAGGGGAATAAGAAAATTTAACGTCAGACCCAAGTGAAAAGTGAATAGCAAAGAGCAATCAATCGCTCCAATATATCAATCAGCCGTAAATGTCTTTAAATATTAGCATTCATGAAAATTTATATTCTAAAAATAAAAGTAACCAAATACATCGATAAAAATCTATTAGAATTTTATTGCTGTCAAATTGTAACAGTAAAGCAACCTTTTATTTTTTATTTATCAATTTTATTGAATCTGTTCTATTCAGTGAAGTGCTATCGAGATATTTAATTGCCGCCAACAATAAAAGCTTTGTAATCAGGTACAGTACCTCACTTCTACACCCACGCCAGTCGAGCTCACTTTAGTTTGTTATCCACTTTTATAATTTTAAACTCTTCGTCTCTTGGTAGAGCGAAATTTTCGTACATTGTAGTGTTTCACACTTGACAACCTTTTCGCAATTGCTAACGTGTCATAATTTTACGTTCGCACGTTTTTGCCACTTGATTTATTTTTATCACCTCCCTGTTTCATCCTAAAGACTTTTTCTTGTGTAAAAAAATTTTTTATTAAAAAAAACTTGTTCAGTTCAATTTAAAAACATTTATTTTTCATTTTTACTTAATTCGATATTTTTTAACCATTGAAGATTTTTAACAAAATAAAAATAAACATAAAAAACACCTTAAACTTCTTTAGACTTTAAATTTACGAAGAAAATAGTATTATGTACCGCGGAATCAATATCATGGAGCTTAACGTCAATGTCTTACTTCTAAGTTATATATCAAGAATTGTAAAAAGTCGACCCACTTTCAGCGCAATAAAAAATAAATATTTTATTCCGATAGACGGTTTAATTAAAAAAAAAATATTGTTAATACTTGACTTTGTTCCATTAAGACTGTTTATAAATTAATATATAAAAAAATAAAGTTAAATAATTCTATTCTACTCGCAAAATCCACTTCCGTGCTATTAAGTTTTTGTGTCGTTAATAATAAAAGAGCATTAATATTTCAGAGCTAGTTGAATGCTGCTAAAAGTCCCAGTTATAAATATTGACTCGAATTGTTAATTTATTGATACATTGATGCATAGGGAACATATTAGATACTGTAAAATTCATAAGTTTTTTATACAATGTATTGTATCATGGAATCATTTATTCGTAAGCTAAATGTAAAGCTGATAGGTCATGCAGAGTGAATTATACAAAAATTTTATTTGAGGATGAAAAATATTTTTTCATTTCACATAAATTCACACGTTATAACTTATGACTTATGAATAAATATTTGAAGAATAAAATAACATACTAAATAATAAATTAAATAAAATGATTGGATTATACAGCAGTGATTTAAAATTATGAAGCCATTTTATTAAAATATGAGCGCGAGCGTGGAAACGGTATTGAAATAATCTTAATCGGCTTACCGGGTAAATCCCCAGAATAGGAAGCTGAAGTTGTTAACAAAAGGACGTTGAAAGTGATGAGTGCGGTAATCCACGCGTGATAACTGAGTCTTCTAGTCATCTTGATCACTCGAATGCGCCTGCCAGTATACACATATTTAATGACTTATACAGTATAAGACATACAATATCTGTAGATTAATACCAATACACTTAGCCTCGGATTACATGCTAGGTCATAAGGTGGGAGTGCTACAGAGAGAGTTTGAGTTTATAGTGCAATCAAAAGCATGAGACTCAATCTATGTTAATATCGCTCGGTATTCATTTCGATCATGACAATTTATTAATTTTAACTGCCAGTAAAACCAACTAAGAATTAGTTTTAGATTTTGTTTTTTAATCTATAAACAGTAATTGCTTTTTAACGACAGCTTGACAAATAAATCAAATACTTTGTTAGAAATAAATAAATAATATTTATTTAATTGTTGAGAAATATGTTTAAAATCTTAAAACTTGCTTATATTATTTCAAATTACGCGCGCTTACTTACGCACCCTCTATGTACGTCATTTCCCGTATCGCCAACATTACAACAACGAAAACTGATGTAAAAATTTTGTTTTAACAATATTTTTATAACTTATCGTATTTTGAATCCGAAAAAAATTTATTATTATAAATAAAGGTGCATTTTTAAATTGTCAGTATAGAATTCATCTAAAAAATTTTGAAGAGACGTGAAAATAAATTGAGTAAAGTTTTCATGTGTGTTCAATATTTTGAGATGTCGTAAATTTTATATTTGGTACGTTATAAAAGTTTAAATAAATATTTTATATTTTTAGGTCACTGTAAAATTTAGCGAGTAACGAAAACAAGTTAATAGTTTGATGTGAAAAGACTTTCGATAAAATTTTTAGAGCTCGTATCTGACGAGTAACTTACTTTTATTTTAACAACAAAATTCATACATTTTTTACGACTTAGTATCGAAAATTCAGTAGCAATACTAAATAAATAAATAATAAAAGGTGTGGATGCGTGTAAACGTGCTATGTAGAGAGTATTGATTTTACAATCGACGAATTCGAGTACAAAAACGACGGACACAGGACCTCGGATGAAGGACGAAGGGTTTCACTATAAAGTGGATCCGTAAGAATAAGTTCCATGTAGGAAAAGTTTTAAGGCGACTCTCAATTGGAGCATGATTCCATACACTTTGAAACTCAATCTTGCTAGTACGGGTTGCGAGCACTTGAGAGTTATATTCGTGAGAGCATATCGAGGACTTTTGAAATTCGACAAAGACGTGTCGTCTTGCCATTGTCCTCTGACACTGTATACTCCTTCGTTTGCTGTTCAACTCTTTCAATCCCGGGTAGAATTCCTCTTATTTATCGAAGAATTTACAATTTGTTGTTCCTGTTGATCGTCGGGAAAATAGAGATCTAATTTAAAACAATACGACAGATGATATTGTTGTCACATGATACTATCTTGAGAACAAACAAATAAAGATTATAAAAATTTTATTTTTTCTGAAAAAACAATCAATTAAATCATTTTTCCGGGAGTCAGTTTATCAAAAGTTCATTCGTTAATTTTTAACCCATCAATCAAGGATAATATTTTATCTAAAAACAAATAAATTAAAATTAAACTCGAATTGACAAAATGAAATTGATGTAAAATATATATTTTGATATAAATCTATTAAAATGTCATTTAATATTAGCAGTCTGTGGTTTTTGGTTTCGACAGTCATGTTAATTTTCTTTGTGTATACAAACTCTTGTCAACAAATTTTAAAGCTATTAATATTCATTTGACGGCTCATGGTATCAGCATCGGCATCGATATCAGTATAAAAATAAAATAGCTGATTCATAAATTGCAATTATTATAAAATAACAAAGAGTTGGTATGGTTATTGTTATTGTAATAAAAAAATACGCAAGTAAAAGGAAAAAAAAAGAGATATAAAACGAACCCACCAAATCGAATTCTATTGATATAGTTTGATGAATAGTAAAGATAAGCGTGACAGTTTGATCGAATTGTTCTTCCATTATTTATTGTCTTTCTGAGCGCACTGGAATTCAAAACCCATCATTCATTGCATATTCATGTGTGTGTGCATGATTTAGCATAAAATAACTAAAAATATGTACTTTACTTCACTCTACTTTGTTCTATGGAATTAAATTGTTGATTTTATTCAAAAATCTAAATGATAAAATGAATGAATAATCAAAGACAGTAATTTGATTTTCATGCGAGGGAAATAAGCCGGATTTTACGTGACTGACATTACGTATTAGACATTAATAATGAATTTTCCAATTATGATTCCATCGGTTTATTTCGAGCAACAATACACAATTTATTCAATATATGATACACTGATCGATAGACAGTAACTGTATATATAGCGTATCAAAACGTCACAGGCTTTACGACAAAGTCTTTACGACTATTTTATAATCGTACATTTTTATACTCGACATAAGAAGATTATTACCATTACGATACATTATTTTCTTCCGTATTTTCATTTCTTCATTTACCGATCCTACAATAACTGAAACAATAAAACTGCCTTTTTTCTCCTATAAAAATAAAATTATACATTTTGAATTTTAATTTAGTCTTATCTTTTGAATACTTCACTTTCTCATTAATTACAAAAATGGTTTATTATTTTTTTATGCTAAAAAATTACCTGGCGAAATAGGAAATAAAAAATTTAATCAAAGAAAGGAATAATTAAATTTTTATAATTCGGAAAAAATTATTAACTTAAAATTTTTTTTAATTAAAAAAAAAAAATACTTTTTATCAAAAATTTAACTGTCCAAATTTCACAAACAAATGTAATTATAATAAAAAAAAAAATACTATAATTTGTAAAAAGAAACAGAAATAAAATAAATAATTTTGCAATTTTAAAGAAAAACTTTTTTAACTAAAACAAGACAAACAATTTAAAGTTTGATTGGATAAAAAAGTCCAGCAATAAAATCTCATATTTCTCTCGCTCACGCTCACAACAACCAAACGAAAATAACGACAACTATTTCGACAGAATTAAAAAGTTCTAAAGAATAAATCTCAACATCTTTATACCTATATATGGATATATATGTCCGTCTATTTAGCTTTCGGCAATGCTTCAGGGAAGCGTATCGAGGTATAACCACACCTCGGGCAATGGCATAAATCTCTCGTACGTAGCGTACATAATGCCTCACATAATACCCCTTATGTTTACACTCACTTCTGTGTGATGTGAGCCCGAGTGTGTGGGTGTAATGCCTGTGTTGACGTCCCCAGTGCCGGCCTCACCCTCACTCTCACCCTTTCTCATCGAGGGAGTCTAGCTGCAGAACGTTAACCTGGCCCCCGCTGTCTGCTTTATTAGCTCGGCGCTGCGTTTGTTCCGCCAAAATTATTGCCCATGTTCGATTCTAAATTAACTGAGATCGGTGAGGAACGGGTCCAGAGAGTCCACCACTGATTATTATTGTTAATTATTACCCCACGTTATTAATGTCTTTTAATATAAATTTATGTTTATTTATTTTCTCTTTTGTTTATGTTACAGCCGACAATATTTGGAACCGTAGCGTCCGACCTTAATCCCAAGGATGGCAACAGTCGAAGGGTAAGTCTACTTATTTCAAGCAATACTTTTTTCTACTTTTTTAATAAGCTCTTTTTAAGTAATTAGCGCCATTAAAATGTTCATTTTATTTTATGAGAGCATTAAAAAAAATTAATGCCTTTCTTCGTGCAAACAAACAAGTTAATTATTTTAATTATTTGATAATTCTTTTAAAAAAAATTTTCGCACTGAAAAAAAATTACTTTAATCAAGAGTACATTATCTTTGATCGATATTTAAAAATATTTTTAAAATCTCTTGTGGTAAAATGTAAAAAAAATTTACTTGATAAATTAAAAAAAAATGAGACGCACTTTAGTCTAAAATAGAAATTGAAAGCTAGAAGATTTAAACTCGTGAAATAAAAAAAACCTAAATGTCAGAATGTATTTTCTGACGAGACAGAAATATTAAAAGTCATATAACAGGTTCATGCGCGGAATAAATTTGTCTGAAGCGAGTAATGAGTAAAAATCGTCGCCAAGTTTACTATACTCTCGAGTCTGAGCCGTAACGTACGTTGATACGCGCTCCTGGTTAGAAATACGCGCTGAAGGTTAGGATAATTAAAAGTTATGGCCATATCAAGTACCGGAGTTTTCACTCTCTGATCTCATTTTTTTTCACATTTATTATTTTTAATTTTCCCCTAATTGTCAAGAATTTTTAATTTTAATTAAATTTACAAGTACCCTTTTCCAAATATTTTTTGTTTAACCTGCGAAATACTAAATTATTACTCCACTACTAATTATTTCTTAATTATAATAATTACCGGGGAAAAATCATAAACTCGGGGTATTTATTTTAATTAGAAAAATAACCTACAACGTTTTTATACTTGAAAGTTTCTTTTATTTTTATTCCAATAAATGAAAAGTCGCCTTAATTTCGAGACGGTCGTTATCGGCTGTCATCTCGGCGAAGATCCCAGACAGACCGAGGGCCAAGAGAAAGTAAGCGACGATCCAGGGATTAACGGCCGGGTATAGCGTGTGCGACGGGTAGTTTGTAACAATTAATAGATGAGATAATGCAACGGCTGTCTCTTTTGGTATCTATCGGCGGACTGAACTCGATACCCTTGCCCCCTTTCTCGCCCTTGCACACGTATGCACACACTTACACAATTGTGCTATACCGTAGGTATCGATACCGACCACACGATCCATCGATTTGGTGATATGGCCCTTGAGAACTATCGTTCCCAATTACCGGCTCACCCAAGCATCCTTCGGATCTCTCAAGTACCCTTGATATATATATTATCAATAGCCCTTAATGTCTATACATGTCTATTAGTCTTGTAATTCCACTAAAAATGAATCCCTACCATAACTTACTAATTCAATAAAAATAACTCTTTTAGAAAAAGCTTTGTAGCTTACTCATTAATTTTTCTTACTAAAGACAGGTGTATCAAAAAAATTTATTATTTAGAATAATGGAAAAAAAATTAATTGTAATTTATTATTTTTACTAATTTTTACAATTTTTTTTTTAGTATGAGAGCTAGGATTTTTTTTCATTGAACTTTTTTGTGTTGAAAAAATTTTGGTCTTATAAATTTTTGAGATTTTAAATACTTCAATTACAATTTTAATTCCAAACTTTTACAAATAATTTTCACTGGTTAAAAATAATAATAACAAATACTCTAAGATGAAGACAAATATACTGTAGAGCCTAATCCTGATCTCTTATCACAGTGAGCGATGAGCTACAATGTCTATAGCCATCATTTTCGGCAATTGAGCTATCTTCTTACCCGTATCATAATAATCGCAGTAATTATTATTATCTCGGTAATCATTATCATCCAGCATTGTAGCTCTAGCTTCTAACTCCTGGCCTATCCAATGTCTGACGAGCCAATTAAGTCCAAACAAACTGCACTTCGGATGGATTTACGCGACTGACAATAGGCCACGTTGGACTCTAATGCCCGACGGTGACGCGACAAATGGCGCCGTGGCGGATCGTGAACCCAGTGACCTCTCACGGCGGCGTCGGTGAACTTCCACGCTCGTTACATTCTGACCGCATATACACTCCTGTTTTCGGGCTATTTGTTTAACTGTCCTTTTATTGCGTCCGATCTAGTGTTTGATTACGTGTTTGTGATACATTTAACAGGATCCACTTCATAAGTGGTTTCAACAGGTTTAATCAATTTAAAGTATTGAGAATAAAAGGTTAATCCTTCAAAAAAAAACATACCTTTCAATTGGATTAATTTTGCAAAGCTATTGAGTTTGTGGTTGCCGGTTTGAGTTCGAATTATCTGAATTTATTATCTCCATTTAGATTATCCTGCAGTAGACACTGCATTTCTTTTAGTTGGATAATAAAGACGTTTATTACCACTGTTACTGCTGGTAGCCTACGGGGAAATGTCCATAATAAATGCTTTGAATTTACTGGATAAACAAACAAACATAAATAAACTCGAATGTTTTTTTTATTCACGTTTGAGATTTTGATTTTTTAACACTGTAATTTTGAAACTTTACGACGAAAAATCTCTTTTTTTTTTTTATTATGAAATAAATTTTTGACAATAAAATATCTCAAAACTTTTAAAGTAAAAAAATTGTATTGATTTTTTTAAACATTATCTTGATTCAAAAATTTGTTTTTGTGTAAATAATTCATAAATTATAGATATTTTATCCATCATAAATTTTTTATATATTCTTTGAACTTACAAATTTTTAACAAACGCAAAAATCCAGCTTTCAACTGCGTTAAATCCTACTTCTTCAAACAAAGCAAACAAAAGCGTTAAGTCGAAACAAAGTTCAGTAAAAACAACATATAAATAAATTAACCTAAGTAATGAAGCAACAAATACCCCATCGCAATTATCACTCTTACTTACTTAAGCATCACAATTAATATTTATCTAAGATTGCCCCTTAAGTCCATGGAAATAATAAACCCGCTGGGAGTTAATATTTCCGCAATCAATTTATTCAAATGAAACAGCATTAAAGAGGAAGTACAAATGGAGTCTCTCGAAGGAAAGGAATATTAAGCCCTCCAGCAGTCGCGTGGTGGGTTCTTAAATGTTTTTCTTATTTAGTTGGTCTTGAACCCCAGGAGCAGACGATACGAAGGAAGAGGTTCCCTTTGCTCGGCTCAGAGCCTCCTCCTAGTGGCACGTCATCGTGAAAAGGTGAAAATGTTAAACGATAAATTAAAGAGGCTCACGAAAAGCCGAGGAAAATGAGGGTGAGGGCGAGGCCAAGGGTGAGGGTGAAACTTTGGTCTTTGCCCGCTGGCGAAAACAACACAACTACATCTACACTTAGTGTTTAAGTTACCTTATACCTTTTCCCTTTACTTAACAACTTTTTTCTATTTTCTCTTTACTTAATCCCTCGAGCAGTAGAGTAGTCGACCTTCTCTTTCACATTTATGAAAACTTGTAATTACAGCACTTAATTTCCATACATTTATTTACCAACTCTGCGTGCAAGTACTCAAGATATTACTTCGAGGATTTTTAACATCAAGATTTTCATTTAAATCATCAAAATTTCGAGCTTTTTTTATTTTTTTTCATCAAGTGCTCACTCCGGAGTTTCGTTTGGAAAAAAAAAATTTATTTCTTCGCAAAAAATATGCTTTAGATCCTAAAATAATTATATTATAAATTTGAAACTAATATTTTAATTAAAAAAGCTTTTAAAAAAATTTCCCTCCAACTTGGCTTAGAAAATTTTTATAACATTTGTTCGAAAAAAAAATATAAACATGGGTCACTTTTTAGTTAAATTTTTTTTGTACAAAAAAATGATTCAGAGAAAAATTTTCACACAAGATAAAAAAATTTACGATAATTTTAAAGTTAAAAACTTTTTTACATCTTCATTTAAACAGTTTCATTGAAAACTGTTTAAAAAGTTTTAATAGATAATAACACTAAAGAAGATGAGTTACAAAAATCAAAAGAATCTAACACTAGTTCGACATTAGGATTTTTTTATGGCCCCAAAGTGGTTGTACTTCATCCGACGAAAGTTTCGATAATAAAGTAAATGTAGAATGAGGATGTAAATGTAGATCGGTAACTGGTCTTATAAAATAATACATTGGTGATATTATGTGCATTTTTAGTGTCGGCAAAAAATACCGTGAATTGTAAAAAAGTATCCCAAGAATTTATCGATAGCGCCGGGGTTTCTATGATGAGGAAGAAAGAAAGAAAGAAAGAGCGTGTATACTTCTTTTCTATACATACATATATTTATTTAATAGTAGTAGAGTGTACGGTTGTCGAGCCACGAAGGCACTCGTTGAGGGAAATTGCCTGGCAGCAGCAGCTGTTACGTATTTTTACCTTTTTCATCCACATCCACTCGGGCTGGTGTAAAGGAGACCCAAGAAAATCTAAAACTCGGAAAATAAAAACTACCTTCATCCATAAAAACCGATAATGAGTATCCAAAAGTTTTAAATACACCGATGTTTACATCCATTACATTTCGATTCGACTTTTTTAAGTATCAGTAAATACTCAAGTGCTTCGTAAAAAAAAGTTTATAGCTATTTTTTTTTTTGAAAATAATAAATTTTATTTTTATTTAAAAATAACAAAAATAACAATTTTTTATTTAAAAAAATTCTCTACTTTTTTTCAGTTAATATTTAATCTGTATGTTTATTTTTAATTTTCAATGTATTCAATTTTTTTTTTTACTCGGATTGAATAAAAAGTAATAAACAAATAAATTCATGATTACAACACAGCTTAATTTTTCAATATTTCAACTCGCATATTTATTTTAAAATATTTATATATATTTATACATAAAAATTTTATGTTTGTACAATTTTTCGGAACACAGATAAAAATTTAGCTTTTTCGGATGAGCGAGTTTATTCTAGCAAATGCAAGTAAATAAATCCTTAACTCTCAATTACAGTTAGGTGAAATAGCGCGAACAATATCAACAGCAACCATTCGAATGGTAATTTTCTTTACATTAGGACGCATCGTGAATCATACTCGTGCCAGAGTTAACATTAACATTACCGCGGCTTCAAATGAATAGAAATAGGAATGAAAAATATATATAAATATAAAAACGCTAACACAACACGGATTATTATACACGCCGGGACATATTGCTCAATAAATCTTTGAGCGGGACGACGAAAGAGCTTTACAAATATATTTCGCAAGTCGACTCAATAAATTACAGGGTAATAATGGCTAATGTAATTCAATAGCTTTTTTTTTAGTTTTTTTAATTTTATTGTCCTCATGGTTTATGGATACGGATGTTTTTGATTTGATTAATTTTACTCTCGAATTTCTAGTGGTGTTTTTGGTACAAATTAACAAGAAATTTTTTTGGCAACAATCAATTATATTATTAAAATTAATAAATGAGTCTTTTAATTAATTCAAAAAACAATTTTGAGACTTTAAATTTATTCAATCAAAATAAAACATAATGTACTTTAAAAACAAAATTATTTTTTTAAGAAAAATTTATCAAAATTAATAAACAGTTTTTTGATAGATTAAAAAAACAATTTCCAAACTTCAAAAAAACAATATCAAAAATTCTAATTAAAGTTTTTCTAATCTACAATAAATTACTTTTTAATTCAAATATGTAGCTTGATATGACCATTGTAAAATATTTAACCATGCCTAATTTTGGCAAAACAGGTTCTAAATCGGCTTAGTATAATATGATCATCATCATTTACTCATAATAACATTCTAAACACTGCCATAAAATAACTTCAATGATAACAAAGCTCAAAATATGAAAAAAGAGAGTTTAACAGAGCGCAGATGGTATCAGCAGAGCATGTGTTTAGTCGGTGATTGTGATGCTGATGGCGATGCTGATGCTGATGATGATGATGATGATGATGATGATGATGATGATGATGATACAGTTAGGTTAGGTTACTATTCTCGTGTAGGTGGTTATATAACGTGGTGGAAGGGCCGGAGCAGTGGGTACCGGCATTTAGCTGCGGGCATCAGGTAATTTGTCATCTGTAGTGAAACGGACGTAGTGCAGCTAGCGATCTGCTCGTTTGATGGGCCTAGATTAATTAGCTTAGCCAGAGAGAGTTTGATGATGCAGGCTGAGCAGGGTACCAACGATCGTCGGAACGTGGATCGTCCGTCGGTACGGCTGTGCTTGATACTTGGTGTTACACGTGAATTCCCAGCTTATATCCATATATTAACTTATGCAAGCATGTAATCCGATTAATCCACATTTAAGTGAGTTTATAAAATAAAAATCTTGAGTGTTTACAGCAGTGTGGTCGGTGTAGACAGCTCGGATGAAAAAAAAGTTGTATTGTTTAATCTGTTAGTTCGTAATTCCGATTTGTTTTTCCGCGGAATAACGCACGGACGTACAGCGAGCAAAAAATATTATTTAAACAAAAAATATGTGGATAAATGAAATACATTTAGTATTTCCAGAGTGGAGGCTTTAGCGCTTGACCAAGTGGAAGATACGTTCCAATGTTCACCAGCGAGTTTTCTCCCTTTGTTTTATTTTTCTCACTGCTCCCAGCTCCCGCTTTTCGTTCTGCAAAGCCGCAGCGCCAGACATACTGATCAACCCAGTTTTGTTGGCAATAGCTGAATTTCAAGATCCATTTTCATCGGCTTTGTTCTATCCGGCTGTAATAGATCTAAACGATGTTCTACGCTGCGTTGATACTACAGAGAGAGCTACTGATTAAATACAATCTCATTTTATCCCATTAAACTCCACTTTTGTGAACGCATTTTCTTTTTTTATTCGCGACAAAAAATATCTTGTTTATTTGCAACCACCAAAGGAAACGAAAATTAGTCCTTGGGATTTACATACTCATTTAAATACTTCAGTCTTTTGTACAAATTTAGGAACAAAAAAGCCTAATTGATATTTGTATCTAATGTTTACGAAATTCACAAGGACAAATTGAAAATTGTAACAAGAGCTTAATTTTTGCATTTAAAATTTTTTTGAAACCATTTGGGC